AAGTGGAAAATGAATTCACTTCTTCAGAGGGATGCTAGGGCACCTTCAGCTTACGGCCTTCCAAAAATACGCAAGAAAGGAGTTTCTTTAAGATTAATTGTTAATAAGAAGGGAATTATGATGCATAAGATTTCACGTTTCTTATGTAGATAACTGAGGAAATTGGCTGAGTATTGAAAATATTTACTTACGAATTCATATGAATTTGCTAGATTAATAGATCAACAGAGTATTAAGGAGGAGGATATTTTGGTTAGTTTTGATGTGGTATCAATGCATACTAACATCCCAGTTCATAAAGCTATTGAAGCCCTTACACTAAGCCTAGATAAGCACCCAGAAATTATTGTGGAGGCAAATCTGAGTAAAAGCTCAATCTTAAGGCTTCTTAATCTATCCATGATCAGCACATACTTCACCTTTAATGATAAAGTTTATGAACAGGTGCAAGGCCTGGCAATGGGATCTTGCTTGGCTCTCATTTGGGCTAATAACTACATGTCAAGAATGGAGGAACAATTCATTGAAGAGGTAAGATTGACACCCAAACTGTTAGTTAGATTCTTGGATGACTACTTTGTCATATGAAAACATGGCAAGAATAGATGAGATAATTTCTTGTTTTTAATTAACCAGATTTACTGCAACATTAATTTGACAATGCAGATGAAGATGAACAATAATTTACCCTTTTTAAATGTCTTATTGATCAGAGCAGGTGAAAAGTTAAGCAGGGATGTCTAAAGAAAGCCAACACATGCTGGTTTTATCCTTAGCTTCTTCTCCAATCATAGTTACAACACAAAGGTTGGAGTTTTAAAATCTATGATTATTCGGAGCATAATAATATCCGATAGAGACCATTGTGAAAATGAACTGGATCTGCTTAGAATAATATTTCTTGAGAATAGTTATCCCCTAGGCTTGATTGAAAATAACATTGAATTAATAAATAATAGCTTTTTGAATGGTGAATATGTTGGGCGAGATAAGGAGACCTTTTCTCATGTTTTGTCTTTGAATTCGTGCGTTCTCTATAAAAGAAGAGATGAACAAGTAAGGAAGTGGAGAATAAAAACGGTCTTCAGGGAACCTACGACCCTTTCTTCAGTTATCCCACTTTCAGAGAGAAAGTTGACCCATTATCCAGATCGGGTTGCTACAAAATAATGTGTTCATGTGGTCGCTTTTATGTTGGATAGACTTGTCGTCCCATTCGACAAAGGGTGGCTGAGCACAAAAGCACCTGCAAATGCTGTTGGGTTTAAAAATTGGAGCTTGCAGAGTACAGGCTGAAACGGGACACGAGACTTGTCGTTTTGCTGATTATGGCATTTTTGCGGCTAAACGTAAAATTAGAGAAGCCATAGAAATAAACAGAATAGGAAATACCTTGAATGTAAGGAATATCGGCAAGAAGATAAGCAAAAATTACTTGTGCTTAATTAATAGAGTAGAGTTTCGAGAGTACCAGTAAATCAGTAATATGAGAGGTATTCACCCAATTTCGTTTAAGGTCATGAAGGACTGGTAGTAGAATTTTCCCACAATGATATCAGTAGAGCTGACGCTTCCATTGAATTTCACAGAGCCTTGCTCTCCCAAAAATTTCTCTCATCCAGGCTGAAGTCGACACCTCATATCATTGTGGGAAAATTCTACTACCAGTCCTTCATCGCTTTAAACTAAATAGGGTCAATACATCTCATAGAATCTTGAGTTGCCATGACTGTCCCGTCTTCTCTGTGGCTCTCTGGCAGCCGTGGCTGCATGGCGGAATGTTAACGTGTACCGGTTTATACGTGCGACCCATCTTCGAGCCCCATTTGCGCTGGTGCGGTAACTCGGGCGAGTTCTAAAATGACGTTCAGTCGAGATGAAGAGGCAAGGCGTAGATATGAAGACCAAGATGGTGTGGCCTTCTGTTTGGTCGCAGTCTTCTCTAGCCTTATAGTTTTAGTTCGACCTCGTTTTCGCAACTTGGTCAGACCGACAGGACGACCTTAGGAAGCGTATCTTTCTCCTGTATTTTCTGACAGGGTATTCGAGATTTCCAGCATCGCACCATTGACTCGGTACATTTTCAAACGTTCCGCCGACATCGTTAGTGAGAGACTCCATCGACAGCTCAGATAGGTTGTAACTCTGTGCCAACGACGGATGCGAAACGTTTGAAAATGTACCAAGTCAATGGTCCGATACTGGAAATCACGAATACCATGTCATAAAGTCTCTCTGTCAGTCCGACCAAGTTGCGAAAACGAGGTCAAAGCAACACTATAAAGTGATGCGAGCTTCAGGGGCATCCTGAGGCTAATCTGTTTGATAGTAAAACAGTTCAATTATCATCTTCCTACATCGTGTCATCGAGCCAAGATGACTGAAATGACTTATTCGAAGTCACTTCAGTTTTATAGTCAATATTTGATGAATTTCGCGAAAGAATGTAAGGGATAAAGGCTTGCAGGACGAAGCTGGGTTGCATCTTTTGGTACCGACTTCATAACTTTGCCTCATCACTCCATCCAACCCTCAGGGAAGCCCGATTTGCGAGGTGGAGCAGGTAGCCACCTTCTGCAGCCTCCTGTACAGAGCCCCGCCACACCGGACCATCAGCACTCGCCGCCGCAGCATGTACCGGTCCATGTATCGGCGCCAAATGGATCGACTGGCCTACCGAAACGCATGGTTCCTGGAGACCTCCGGCTGTTCTGCTGCGGTCGCCACCGGCGTCGGTCCCAAAGTCGAGCTCGTTGTCGGTCGACAAGAGGCCCGTCTCGAGCTAGACACCACCGACGGTTCAGACGGT